ATTTGTTGATAATATAGAGAAAGCACCATCCATCTTTCCTGATGCAATAGTAATCTATTGCCTAATCAAAGCAGAGGCTCAGGCTTGAAATCTTTGCTTCCTCTGCTTCAAGTATAAAAATCATCCCCTTTCTAAAATATTGAATGCCTTTCCCAATACGTGCCTGAATATTCTGACTACAAGTCAGTGTCAATAGAGACTCATTTTCACCTTGTAGTGGCTAGTAATGTCAAGTGTCAACATCGTCTTTTTATTTTTAGGAAAAGGATGTCTCAGGAATGACTGCCAATACTGGCAGTATAATTAAGATATGGTATTTTAAGGTTTTTTTCCTCAAGCAGCCAGCACTAAGCACTAATTTTAGCACCAATCAGTGAAAATGAAGCTCAAAGCCTGCTCAATAACATACCATTGCTCAAGTTGCCACAGGGTAAACTACCTTGACAACTTCTGCTTAACCTGTAACATCCAGTCAAAAATGACTTTGTTGGAATCATGTCTGCCTAAGTAGAACTGCGTGACACTTTCACATTTATACAGCACGGCTTACCCAGAAGCAAAGAAACCCATACCTAGGCTGTGTAAGAGTCACTTCACCTACTACTGAAATACACCCACCTCTGGGGTGGGACATGCCAGCAACACATACCCTCCTTCACAGTATAAAGAGTGTACAATTAGGACGACAGAGAAAGGTAGAAAAATCAAAGGAGTTACAATTCATTAAGAATATTGGAGATAATGGTATTTCCAATGAGCGCTGGTGTTCTGTCTTTAATCATCATAAGTGCACAGGTCCTTGCCTGAAACACAGTGACTCCAATAGCAGTAAATCAAGGTTACTGCACCAGTAAAGCAACTGTGGAAGACCACACCAAGGAGCTAGAGGTACTAATAAATATATTTCATCAGATGTTAGTAATCATGGGAATTTAGAATTAAAAGTTTTTACTCACCTGCATAATGCAAATTCTATATAGAATTTGAAAGGTGAAGAGTGGGAAGAGCTGGACAAGCAATTTAGTGTTTTCTACATGAGTCTCACTGTACCAGCCACCATAGTTTTCCTTGGCATGATCTAACCAGCTTGTCACATCTTCATGGAGGTGGTGATATCTCACACAGCACATTTTCAACGCATTAGCAACTACTCCAAAGGTTGTCAGCAGGGAGCTACCTGCAAATGACCAGAGACATCATGCCATCAGTATATTTTACTTGCTGCCAAACTGAAGACAAGCCAAATTGCTTTTGTAAGAAAATACAGTGTGATACAATTTGCCTTGCTCATTGCCAAAGGGTGCAGACAATCAGATTTGTTCCAAAACATTCATCTTTAGGAGACAACTGGAACATGTAGGGCCAAGTTTATATGCAGTATGCACCCTAAACTACCCCGCTGAAGGTACATAGGTCTTGGTCTTCTCTTCAGTAGGAAGAATGATGGGTTTTTTACTACCTGTTAACACTTTGGAATGATTTAGTGTTATGGCTGAGCAGTTACTGTATTAATATTTTCCTTTGAACATGTTTTGTATTGATTTGATCTGGATGGTTTTCCATTCAGGCCAGTAATGAGCGATTGTATGCTAGCCCCCGCTGAAGGTACATAGGTCTTGGTCTTCTCTTCAGTAGGAAGAATGATGGGTTTTTTACTACCTGTTAACACTTTGGAATGATTTAGTGTTATGGCTGAGCAGTTACTGTATTAATATTTTCCTTTGAACATGTTTTGTATTGATTTGATCTGGATGGTTTTCCATTCAGGCCAGTAATGAGCGATTGTATGCTAGCCAAATAGCATTCTGTGGTCAGGTTTCAAAGCCAGCCCAGGTTAGATGTTATTAAAAATATTACCTCTTGATGGTTCTGGGATAGCCTATATGAACTAAATTAGGAGTTAGCGATGAACAAAAAGAAAAACAAAACCTCAGCTGCAATTACCATCCTTGTTATCAGTCTCAGAGAAACCATCAATGGTATAAGCATGGAAACTTAGATGTGAAGTCATGCAGTCCTAGCCTAGGCCTTGGGAGACTGGGGTCACATTCCTGCCTTCTCTGTGTGACTTCAGACAGCTTTTTTATTCTCTGTGCCTTATTTCCCATTCTGTCAAATGTGGTAATGGCACTTCTCTACCTCACAGGAGTGTTTGTGGCACATGGGTATCACTGTGAAAGAGGAGCAAGATGAATATCTTATAGTTTGATTGATGGATAGTTACTAGATAGTTAGATGGCTGTATCCCACAAAGGTCATCCTAGTGTTGAAACATTCTGACAGGAATGTGTGAGGTTAGTTTGCACTGCTGCTTTCCAGGGCCTATTTCTTTCACTGATGGTGGTGGTCATCTCCTGATTTGGCACTTATCACAAACGCTGTATGTATTCACTTAATGCCAAGAAAGAACAACAACAACAACAACAACAAAAGAACAGGCTTTTGGCTAATCAAGATTTTAACCCGATCTCTATCTACTTAGTATCCATAGCTGGACTCTTGGCATTGATTAATAAGATCTTACTAACAGAAAGGGAAATGCAGAATACAGATTAAAGTTAGCAAACATTGAGCCTTCTGGCTTAAATACTCTAATTTTTAAGTTTATAGAGGTCAAAACACAAAACCAGGAAGAAAAAGCCCCAGTCTTTATAATGGTGTTCAAATTAAGAAAAACTGATCAGGAAAAGGGAAAAGATTCTAGATTTTCTAGTCAGTACTAAGAGGGTTTGTAGAAGGTAAGACGGCATTAAAGAACTAGCATAAGGGTATAATTTGTACCTGTTGTCATGATTTGGAGCTCTTATTTGCAGTTTGATGTTTACATACATGGTCTGATCCCTTTTTGCTCCGTAGTTGACATTGGGTCATTACAAAGGATACGTTCATTTACAACAGGCACTAGTCCTCTGAGAAATCAGGAATCCTAAAATTCCTCTTAAAAATCAACCCTTTTAGGAGATTAAAGTCTTCAACACTATTAAATAGGCAGACACAATGAATACAAAAAATGTTACCCCCTAAGAAATGTTTGTGCTGTAGCAGATCTAGTTTATTGCAGATTACACTCAAGACTATTTTTATTCCTTGGAAACAAGGACCATTAAAGAAATCAGACTTATGTTCCATTATTCACATTGACAGGAAGATTTAACATGGATGACAAGTTATTGCTGGGCCTTGACATTTCAATGCATTTCTTATTAGACCAATTTCTCTCTCCTCGTAATTTAATTTGAGAATCAACCACCTATGAAGATCTAGAAAAATATTTTGTTCTGAACAGGGGTAAAAATATAATGATGTATTTACTTGCCATATACTCTAGCTACTGGATACTTCTGAACAAAGTGTAGCGTTTCAGACTGGTTGTGGTCCCTGGTAAACAAGACAGACACATCTAGAATTGAACCTGGATGCAAACGTTTGTCAGTAGTTGCGGTTTTGTTTAATGGACAACTTAGGTGAAATTCTGGCCTCAGTGATAACAAAAAAAAACCCACTTTGACACTGATATTAGTGGAGCCAGGATTCATCCCTCCTTTTTAAGGAGAGTTATTTTAGAGAAATATGGTGTTTGAATTTTGACATTAATTGAAGCAATAATTCAGGAAGGTATGGGGTAAAGAAGGCAGAGGAACAAAGTATATTTAATTTCACAAAAATGAGGAGTTTAAACAAAAATTAAAAGGTACAGTGCCAAAAGTAAAATCCCTGCAAGCTGCATGGAAATTGATCAAAGACATCATAATAGAGGCTCAACCTAAATGTAAACTCCAAATTAAAAAAATAAAAATAAAACCACAGTAAGAGAATCAAAAAAGTGCCACCCTGGCTTAACAACAAAATAAAGAAGCAGTGAGAGGTAAAAAGGCATTGTTTAAAAAGTGGAAGTTAAATCCTAGTGAGGAAACTAGAACGAGTATAAATGCTGTGAAATGAAGTATTAAACATAAGTAGGAAGGCCAAAAAGGAATTTGAATAACAGCTAACCAAAAAACAAACAAAAAAACCCCACCATTTTTTTAAGTACATCAGAAGAAGGATAAAGAAGATGATAAAGGATCACTCAAAGATGATACGGTCATTGCAGAGAAACTTTGGTCTTCTTAACTGAGGATGTTACAGAGATTCCAAAACCTGAGCCAATGGATATAATGTACTTAAAAGCCTTTGGAGAGGGATCTTGTCAAAGGCATTTTGGAAATTTAAGTAATGTAAGCTGTCATGGATAAGAGGGAAGGTCCTCTCATGGACTGATAACTCATCAAAACATAGGAAACAAAGGGTAGAAATAAATCATCAGTTTTCAGAATGGAGAAGAGTAACTAGTGCTGACCCACAGGGGTCCACACTGGGATCAGCCCTATTCAACACATTCATAAATGATCTGGAGAATGGGTTAAACAGCAAAATGACTAAATTTACAGATGATACTAAACTGCTCAAGATAGTTAAGACCAAAGCAGACTGTGAAGAGCTTCAAAAGGATCTCATAAAACTAGGCGACTAGGTAACAAAATGGCAAATGAATTTTAATGTTGATAAATGCAAAGTAATGCAATTGGAAAACATAATCCCAACTATACGTACAAAGTGAGGGGGCTATTACCACTCCAGAGAGATCTTCGAGTCACTGTGTGATAGTTCTCTGAAAACATCCACCCAATGTGCAGCAGCAGTGAAAAAAGCAAATAGAATATTGGCAATAATTCTAAAAGGGATAGAGTGGGGCAGAGAACATCTTATTGCCTTTATATAAATCCATGGTACGCCCGTATCTGGAATACTGTGCACAGATGTGATCACCTCATCTCCAAAAAGATACCTTGGCATTGGAAAAAGTTCAAAAAAGGGCAACAAAAGTTATTGTGCTTTGGAACGACTGTCATATGAGGAAAGATTAAAAAGACTGGGAGGAGACTAAGAGGGGATATGATGGAGGTCATGGTTAGTATGGAGAAAGTGAATAAGGGAGAAGTTTACTTGTTCCCGTAATATAAAAACTAGGGGTCACCAAATGAAATTAGTAGGTAGCAAGTTTAAAACAAACAAAAAGAAATATATCTTCACGCAATGCACAGTCAACTTGTGGAACTCCTTTCCAGAGGATGTTGTGTAAATCGGGACTTTACCAGGGTTCAAAAAAGAACTAGATAAATTAATAGAGGATAGGTACATCAATGACTATTAGCCAGGATGGGTACGAATGGTGTCCCTAGCCTCTGTTTGTTAGAAGCTGGGAATGAGTGACAGTGGAGAGATCACTTGACGATTCCCTGTTCTAGTCCTTCTCTCTGGGGCACCTTGCATTGGCTACTGTCGGAGGAGAGGATACTGAGCTAGGTAGACCTTTGGTCTGACTTAGTATAGCCATTGTTATGTTCTTAGAAATCATATGATGTGCCTCAGTGGCTTTGCATTAGAGATCTATTCTACAGTCATAACCGTGTATCTCAGTATATATCAACATTATCCATTTCATGTTTATGTGTGGCCAGATTTTTAATGTTTCCTTGGAAATGTTCATCTGTATTGACATTAAAATAATGTTTAGAAAGTAATCTTCTAACTTTTTTATACCTAAAGCCTATGGCTCTGATGCTTTGCTACTCAGACCTTGATCTAATCATGAATATCCATTCTAATAAAAAACCTATATTACACACTGGATGGTAGAACCACATTTTTCCCCATCTTTGGTCACTTGCCAGGTCTCAAAATTATAACAGTGAAAAGAAATGCAAATGAAGTTAGTGCTTGACAGCTAAACATGATGGAATACATGGTTCACACTGGAAACGTTACTTTAAAATAAAAAAGGTAGCATATATAAAAAATCATTTCTTTAAGGTCACGTATGGATTTAAATTATTACTCTAAAGAATGTCCAATTTAGTCACTTTATTGGAAGGAGCCAAGATAAGGATTAAAAGCTCTCAGAATATTACTCCAAAGTTGGATAATTCTGTTGAGACTTGCAAAATATTAATTAAACCAAACAACATTCATTAGGAAAAACATTAAGCAATAATATACAAACAAGTGCTGCCTGTACTGCCTTTGGAGGGAAATTAAAATTTGCGACGCCACCAAAAAGTTCTTGTTATCTCTTGTACTCTTTGCTGTGACCATAAGTGACATCAGTGCTGTGATTTTCCAGAACAGCCTGGCTCAACCTGCAAAGTTCAGATTCAAACAACAGCAAACTTCTGTTTGTGGAAGGGATAAAGCTTCACCAAGGTCTCTCTCAGCTCTGTAAAACTTGAAAACTTGTCTGTTCCACAAGGGTATGTCTACACTACAGCGCTAGTTCGAACTAACTTAGTTCGAATTAGTTAATTCGAACTAAGCTAGTTCGAACTAACGCGTCTAGAACTAAAAACTAGTTCGAACTAGCGTTTTGCTAGTTCGAACTAGCAAGTCCACATTGAGTGGACTCTGAACAGGGCTTAAGGATGGCCGGAAGCAGTGCCGGCAGGGCATAAAAGGAGGACTTAGAGCATGGAGATGCTGTCTCAGGCTAGCCGAGGGCTGCGCTTAAAGGGTCCCGACCCCCACCCCGGACACACAGTTCTAAGGGGTGCCCCGCTTGCAAAGAAGTTCTGGCTTGGAGTGCCCTGAGTGCCCACACTGGGCACATCACACCACTCGGCCATCAGCCCAGCTGCACTTGCCGCAGGCTGCCATCTGGGGAGAGGGAGTAATTGGGGGGCTGCAGGAGAGCTTCCACCCCCAGAAGCCCGCAGAGCCAGCCCAGTCCTCCCCATCGGGGGCTCGTACCCCATTCCTCCCTCACCTCCTTCCACTTACCCTTCCCTAGCCCCCCTTCTTATTGATGTACAAAATAAAGATAACGTTTCTTCCAACATTGACTCTGTCTTTATTGAAAAAAACTGGGGGAGACTGGGAAAAGGAGGTGGGAGAGGGGAAGAGAAAGGCTGGGAGAGGGGAGGGCAACTAACATGATCAGGGGTTGGGAACAGGTCCCAGATGAAGAAAGGCTACAGAGACTGGGACTGTTCAGCTTAGAAAAGAGGAGACGGAGGGGGGACAGGATAGAGGTCTCTAAAAGCAGGGGTTGGGTGGAGAGGGTGCATTCAGAAAAGTTCTTCCTGAGATCCCATAAAGAAGGACTAGAGGACACCAAAGGAAAGGAATGGGTAGCAGGCTTGAAACTAGTAAGAGAAAGTTGTTCTTCTTGACAAAGCAAATAGTTAACCTGTGGAACTCCTTGCTGCAGGAGGCTGTGAAGGCTACAACTAGAACAGAGTTTAAAGGGAAGTGAGATCAAGTCATGGAGGTTGGGTCCATGGAGTCCTATTAGCCAGAGGGTAGGAGTGGTGTCCCTGCCCAAAGTTTGTGGAAGGCTGGAGAGGGATGGCACGAGACAAATGGCTTGGTCACTGTCTTCGGTCCATCCCCTCCAGGGTCCATAGGGTTGGCCGCTGTCGGCAGACAGGCTATGGGCTAGATGGACCTTTGGTCTGACCCAGTACGGCCATTGTAAGCTCAGGGCTCAGTGTCGGGGGTCTCAGTGGACCCCCTTGATTTTCATGCACACCTGGTCCTGGGTGGCCAGGCTGGCAGCTCTCCTGCCCTAGACGGCCACTTTCCTGTGCCTAGTGCGGAGATCGTGGACGAGGTCCACGATGTCCTCACTAGCCCAGGAAGGTGCCCTCCTCTTGCGGTCCAGGGCAGTAATTCAAATTACTCTACTGACAAACTATTTTTTTCCCAAAATGAGAAATTACAAGAAAGCCGGGGCCGGGAGGGGGGCATAGAGTTTCCCTGGTGTTGGCCAGAGTGGCCACCAGGGAAACCTGGGGAGGGCTAGCCTCCCACTAGTTCGAACTAAAGGGCTACACAGCCCTTAGTTCGAACTAGCTAGTTCGAGCTAGGCGTTAGTCCTCGTAAAATGAGGTTTTCCTAGTTCGAACTAAGCGCTCCGCTAGTTCGATTTAAATTCGAACTAGCGGAGCGCTAGTGTAGCACCTATTAAAGTTAGTTCGAACTAACGTCCGTTAGTTCGAACTAACTTTGTAGTGTAGACATACCCCAACAGAAGTTGGTCATAGGATAGATATTACTGTGTCTCATCCTGACAAGAACACTGCCAACAACTATCTAACCTGTGTTTGTTACCTTTTTTTTTTACATTGATTAAACAATCAGGGTTTATTTAAAGTTAAACTTTGATTCTCTTTTTTGGTAGCTTATTTCCTTGCATCTGCTATAGTGCCCCTCCTTTTCCTGCATATACACTTCATTTTACAAGTTATAAAGCAGAATCAAAATACTTTGAAGGGTTGCTATATGTTAAAATGTTGCAATAAGCTAGGAGAAATAGTAAAAAAAAATCTCTTTGTATGTCTTAAAATACTCATAGCTAAAACTACACATATTTAAACTTTTCTTGTGCAAAACAGCTTATTTCTAAATTTTTGTTTTAGACATATAGTAGATCTTCAGAGGTACAAACACCATAGTTACGAACTGATCAGCCAACCACACACCTTATTTGGAACTAGAAATATGCATTTAGGCAGTAGCAGAGAGAGAGAGAGAGAGAGGGGAAAAAAAAGCAAATACAGTACAGATCTGTGTTAAATGTAAACTGCTAAAAAAAGTTTTAAAAGATTTGACAAGGTGAGGAAACTGTCTCCTTGCTTGTTTCATTTAAATTAAGATGATTAAAAGCAGCATTTTTATTTTGTGTAGTAAAGTTTCAAAGCTGTGTTAAGTCAATATTCAGTTGGAAACCTTTGAAAGGACTATATCATTTTGTTCGAAGATGCAAACATCCCCAAGTTACGAACAATGCTTAAAACAACCTCAGGTGTTCATAACTCTGAGGTTCTGTTGTAGTAGCTTACATTGCAGCAATTGAGCTTTAAAATAGAAAATCAGCATCAGATCTCTTGTGATTCAACCATCTCCTGGTACAGGCCCACTTTAAAAGGTTTTATTTGGGCCTTTGTGATCAGGTGTGTAAACCCTGCATTAGGCTGTAAGGGTTTAACACCTCACTGTGGGCAGAGGAAGTCCCGTCTCTCTGGCTGTACTGGGCATGCTCGAAGTTCTGTACCACTATAAAAGGAAGAAGCTCGATTCTGTGTGGGTGCCAGAGAGAATGTGCTTGCAGTGGAATCAGTCAGTAGATGTGAGAGACCCTCTTCTTTCCTCCCAGACCAAAATAAGTCTCAATACCTGACAGAGCACCAGAGAGTGACCAGGGGCTAAGGAGCCTGAAGATCCGGAGGCTTCATGGAGTGCCACAGCACTGAATACAGTAGAAAGTTACTTAGAGGGAGTGAGCCAGTGGTATCTCCCACCCAGGTGATCTCAGCATGTTTCAGTGGGACTCCCCACTGAGGAGGCAGTAGAATGCTCCACCATTCTCAAGGCCCTGGGTTAGGGACTGGTGGAGTCGGGTGGGCCTGTGGCTCCTTTGATACTGTTTGAGGCCACACTGCCCTGCACTGAAGGGCTGCTTGAGGGTGATAGGCCCCTCTGCCTGGCCACTGGGGCTACTGGCATTGCCCTATGGACCTTGAGGGTTGTGAGGGCTAATACCACCCAACAGACAAAACCACTCTGTCCACACACCCGCTACCCCCGCCTTACAGGACAGGATATGCATGCATTGCCCCAGCTAGATTCTGCAAAGTGCTGAAATTAGTGGCAGTGAGTAGATGTCCAGCCTTTCACAAGAGGTACTTATCAGGATTAAGTCCAAAATGAATGCAGACAGAATGGATGTAGCTTGGGGGAGGAGGGGGGGGAGGAGAGGAGGAGGGGAGAAACAGTTAAATAATTTTTAAAGTCATTTCTAAGAGACATATTTACATCTTACCTTTTTTGGGCTGATAAATCATTTCACTGCGCACCATGTGAATCGTGATCAGGGCCATAAGCAGGGACACAAATGGGATAAGAAAACCAAGGTTCTTGGCCACAGATTGCTGGATATAAGAAATGCTAACAAAGACAACCGCTGAATTTAAGTTAACCAGCCAATAAAACCTATGGCAAACAGATAAAATTACTCTAAGAGGGATAGCAGTAAGGAGATTTAAGTCATTAAAAATGCAGTTCTGTTGCACAAAATACAATTTTAAGCATTGTGAAGTGAAAAGGTTTATTTACTTTAACAACGAGTGGGGTGTATTCATACCAGTATGGTATAAGTCAGGATCCTGTATAGCCTGACAATCTATATGAACTATCCTTGGATAATGGGAGTCTCAGCATTATTTATAAAAAAGAGACCAAGTTTCTAGCTCTCCTGGTTGAAGAAAAAAAAAAAAAGATTGAAGCCTATAGGCTGAAAAGACAAAAAAGTACCCCATTAAAAAAAACAACACAAAACCAAAACAAAAAACTCCTGATTTTTAAGTCAATCTCTTGGTTTACAGATGTTTGATTAATGTTTTTGAAATCATGGGGTTGGCAACAGAAGGTAGAAAAAACTCCATAATGACCCATACCAAATGTATAATTCTATATACAAGGAAAAACGTTTCCTTTCTGACTCTAGCAGATCACAGAATATCCACAACTTGAGATTTCATTACTTATGTCTTAAATAGCGTAGCTACAGTGGTAAATTAGTGCAGCTAGACTAGAGTATCAGCCTGTGACCGTTTGCACCATTGAATAGTGTTTCCTTTAATATAATCTAAGAAAAGTTGGATTTTAAGGTAGAGAATTTGTAGAGGTACCTGTAGTATTAGCTAAGAGAATAAATAAAACTTACTACAGTAAACTTCCAATAATCTGGCACATTTAGGACCCAGGGGGTGTCGGATTATCAAATATGCTGGACTATTGGAAGCGGTGGGGAAAGAGGAAGCTATGAGGGGTCTGGGGTGGAGTGGGGGGGGTGCCCCTTGGCGCTGCGGGACCAACCCGGCAGCACCCCAGCTGCTGTGCCCCAGGCGTCCCCAAGTCGGCCACTGCTGAACCTGACCAGTGGCTGACTCGGGGAACCCGGGGGCAGAGCTGCTCTGCCCCGGGCTTCCCAGAGTGAGCTGCTGGTCAGTTTCAGCAGTGGCTGAATAGGGGAAGCCAGGGACAGAGCAGCTCCAATTGTCCGGCTGCCCGGAGCACTTCCAGGTTCCAGATGGTGCTGGACTAACAGGAGTGCCGGACCTTTGGATGCCAGACCACTGGAGTTTTACTGTAATTATTCTTTCATTGAATGCCCGATTCTCACTATTTGGCAACAAATGAAAATAAATTATTCGTTTTTATTTCATCCTTCAGTATCATAACTACTTCAGCTAAATCCCCTTTAACTCTCATTTCACAGCTAAATTATCCGGTTTCTGGTGCACTTTCATCCTGCACTTTGCTTGAAGACCTGCTGCATTTGGGAACATTCTTATTTCCTTCCCTGCTGGGTCGAGATTTGATCAGGGATGCCTTTTTTAAAGGAGAAACTCTACAGAGATATAATGCTGGAAATTATTCATTGCATCCTTAAACACTTAGGCCTCCATTTTCAAGAGCTGCTAGTGTTTTGGGGCCCAACTGTAATAGATTTTAAAACCAGGCTCATTTTGATTGTCTAGTCTGATCTCCTGCGTTCCACATATCAAAGAAATCTCACCCAGTAATCTCTGCATCAAACTTGAGACACCTTATTATCACCCTGATTTTCGGAGAATGGATGCTTAGCATGAAAATGACAAAAAAAAAATGAAGAAAAAAGTGCAGGCCCTTTAAAAAAATGCATCTGCCTTCTGAAAGAGTTACCTTCCCCATCTCAATGTTTCAAAGAATATAAAATAACAATCTGCAGAACACATTGCTTAGATTCCTTTTGTAAGCAGCTTTAGTATCAAATTGAGAATGTCACTGCAGTTGCCACCCTTGCTGAGAGCCTTGGCACTGAAATCAAGGACAAGTATGAAAATAACGGATTTCACTCTTCCCACGCCAAAAGATGGACTCTGTGTGCTGAGATTAAGATGCATCGAGGAAGCCTCGAAAAGCTCATATTGTTATTGCCTTGGGCTCTACCTGTCCTGCAGATAATAAACAAAGAACTTGAGTCTTTGTGCTGTCAATCCAGCATGCATCATTAGTCTTGAATTCACTTAAAACAAACAAGCAGGAGAGATGGCCTTAGCTATTCTTGCTCATCCTCACCCTTATTGGCTCTATAACTTTTTTACCTTAAGCATAAGTGAGTGGGTAGGGCATACCGTCAGTTCAGCTAGAGCCGAAAATCTGTCTAGTATGACTGGCCTGTACATAAGAGAACATGTATTGAAGCTCAGCTCAATGGTTCAGCTGTGAACCTTGAGGAGGAGATGAAGGGAGGGAGTGGGGGCGAAGCAGTTGCTAGGAAAAACACCAAGAGCTGGTCTGCATTACTTTTGTTTCCTCACTTGAAAAGGTTCCTGAATAGTCTGTTGTAATTGCCCCAAAACTGAACTGGTGTTGCCGTGAGTTATAACGTTGAGATCATTACGGTAGTGTTTTTGACTACTCGGTCATTGACCTAGCTAGCTAGAATCAAGAAGTAAAGCCTTTGTAATGTTGAAAATGTGGAGTACCACCAATACACAGATTTGCTCAACTCAAATTAAAGTTATGTCTCAGCTTGTTAGGGAAGAGGAGAATCTGACAGTGGCTAAGAACCAGTGGGTAGTGGTGCACTTTTAAGCAGTAAGCCTAATGGAATACAGGAAGTGGCCAAGGAAGGGTTGACAAATCCAGTTTGGATCAACTTAGTTCCACTGAGAAGCCAAGGCAGCTGTCAGGGGCACTAGAAATCCTATGTATGCCAGGAAGCAAGGACTTCCAGGCTTAAATCATCCTCCAAAGCCATCCCCAAAAGTCCATGAGAATTTAATCTTTATTTATTTTTACCTAGTGCTATGTCTTTCCAGAGGTTTTCAGACTTGGGTTGTAGACCTGCCAGGAAAAGTCCCTGGTGGGCCCACAACACTTTGTTTACTCTAAAGCTCCAAAGCCACAGAGCCTCGTAGCTCCCCTTGGCTGGAAACAGCAAAAAGCAAAACACTGTACAGTTCTGTCACCATTTCCAATAAGAAATTATCCAACGGTTTTGTTTGACATATATATGAATTATAATCTATAGGGTCAAAGTGATAGGCTTTGGAATGTTTCATTTAATGACAAATTCTGGGTTTGACTTCTGATCCCGAAACAGGATGAAACACGGTTTCACTCTATATTCTGTGGAAGATAAGTTTAGTTTTCTGACCAGCTCTGTTTCTCTCAAAACTAAATTAGCAGAGCGAATATTGCCTAATGGATAATGTGCTGAACTGAGAGAAGGAATAGAAGACCAGGACAGATAGAGAAGTGGTCCTATACAAACCACAACTTTTCCAACACTTCAATGCTCCATGCAATTTAGTTTTATTAGCTAAGTTGTTTGTGAGGTTTTAAGGACCATATTCTGTCTGGCATTTTTGCTCAATCCATATTGATAGTAATGGAAGTTCTCATGGACCAAGAAGTAGTGCCAATTAATAGCCTTAACTTACAGTCCCAGACTTCAGACTCACAAGGCCCAGTTTTCCTCCTCTTAGTTTAACAGCAGTGAAACTTATGTCAATGATTTTACACCTAATTCATTCCAGAGATTGGATGCAGGCCCTTCAAGTGTCCTAGAAGCAGCCCTTACCACATGCTGGTGTGAGATCATAGTTACACACTCCTTTGCAGGAAGTCTGATTTTTGAAAGGCTCTTAGCCTAATTTCTGAAGTAAAGCAGGTCAGATAAGAATTTAGACTGATATAAAGCAACACTATGTAACTGTCTCATTAAGTGTATATATTTTAAAGATTTATTCTTGTGACAAAATCTACCAAGAAGAGAAAATGACACATGATTATATACTTATGAGGTTGTAATGAGACTAGAAAATGCTAAGATTCAACCCCATGTTGTTAATTTAAAGATTACAAATCATATTGTACCTCCTCAGATGCCATAGCACTGCAGATATTAGTATTTTCATCTCACACACACACCCACCCACCACTTTCCTCATACTAGCAAAGCCCCAAGAACTAACCCATTTGGAGTCTCCCAAGGAGGTATTTTATTCATCCTGTTGGTATGCCTCCTTTGTAATCAACACTGAGAAATGTCACTTTGATTAAACACAACTCTGAATGACTAAAACCACAGTACAATACATTCTCCAGAGCTATCTTTCAGAACAACTGATTGCTCTTCAATCTTAATCCTCCAGAGTCTTATTTAATCAAAATGGTGTTGCTAATTAAGGATTAAAACTCAGAATAGAATCAAAACCTAGAATTTTTTTCTCTCTCCTTTGGGCAGGTCAAGGAGGCAGTCTGCTTTAAGGAACCAGTCTCTTCCATCTTTAGTAAAGGTACACTATTCACTGAAGCTTACATTTAAACTAAAGATTTGCAATATAAATATAATTGGAGGGAGTGGAAAGGGGAGAAAATAGCTCTAAAGCCATCCCCATACAAACAGAAGTATGATCTAAAAACATTTAATTGATTCATCAGTGATGCATTGTCAATATTTGAATGTGCTCAGTTTCAGTTTATAATAGATAAATTGATTTAATTTTTGGTAGTACCAACAATGCATTGCACATGTATCGCACCTCTCAATCAAGAATTTCTGGATGGCAAGCAAACAATCATAAAACTCCCTCTAAAGTAGATAAATATTTGTAAATATCTATTAAAGAAATTTCTGTCTTAAGGAAAATTCAAATATTTTGTTGTTTTGTCCCAAATGACAACAAAAATATTGAAACTTTTTGTTCAGAGTGTCCAGAAAAATTGAATTTGTAAATGTCAGTGTTTCATTTTAATTTATTAGCCAAAAGGAAATAGTTCATTCTGGCTTGACAAAACATTGTGTGTCCATTTTTCAATGAAGATTTCTGAAGTCATTCTTTTCCAGTAGAAAATTTTAATGGAACCTCCATTTTGCAATGAGAGTGTGTATGTGAAATTTTCCAGTCAGCCCTGGTAACTGTTTAAATCGAAGAACAGAAGTCAAGAACAAGACATCACCTGACCTGATGTCTAAACTGTCAGTCACGGCTGAAAATAGGTTGTGAGGCCTGTCTACCACCACTGCTCACAGGATGAACCACCACCTCTTGAAGCAGACAACAATTCCAAATATGATGTTTTGATTTCTTTATTTTAGTGTGGATACTTACAAGTGTTCAAAGAATTTTGCATCCTCTATGGAGCCTAGTCAATCTAGAGGAAAGGGCTGAGACCCAGCAAGCAACTTCACTACAACCCTGGCAGGCATTTAATGTAAGAACCCAAATAGAATAGCTTGGTTCTATGTGTCAACTAGCCCACTAATTCTATATTGACAGGGGCTAATCACTTGACCTTGATTCAGCCAGGGTGAAAGTCCCTGGCCTATGTTATACAGGAAGTCAAACTAGAATGTATGATTAAAATTATTCTTTCTGGCCTTGAGATTTATGAATCTATGTGCCTGGAAGAAAATTAAGGTAGTATTTTTTAAACAATGTTCCTGCTAAAATGTGATTTCCTATATAGCATTCAATTTTGAAAAATTGAGATGCACTTGAGTTTTTAATTAAGCACCATCATCTCACACAGTGATTCTATTGAAATAGGAAAACACTCACCAATTGAAAAAAGAAAGAAGTTCCTTTGGTCCATAATCCTCAAGGTTGTATGCACTCAGTGGACAAACTATGGCTCTTATGCCTCCCATTCCAAAGCAGACAGTTAGTAGCCCAAAGTAGAAGAGGATTTTTTGTTCATTTTTGGCTACTGAGGGAAGGATATAGTGTATGTCTATATACAAATCTTCAAAGGGGAAAGCAACAACGGGTAACAGGGCTGTACCTGCAATGGGAAAGAAAATGTAACGGATTAAAATGAAGCACCGAACATAGTGTTTATTTTCTAGATTAGCAACTATATTGGAACTAGCCAATTATCCCATCATAAAACGGGATTTTCAGGTCTCTCCTCCACGTCGGTCTTCTCTCCTGATCCTCCGGTCTCTTGCTCCATCTCTCTCTCTCCTCCTCCTCTCTCTCTTTCAGCTCTCCTCCGCCTCCTGCCTCTCTCTTTCTCTTCTCCTCCCCCTCCTGCCTCTCGAACAGCTGTTTGTGCTCTGCACTCCCCATGCTGCATAGGGAGCATGGAGCCCAAACGGTCGCTTGCGCCACTTGCTCCCACGTGGCGGCCCGGCTGAGTGGCGCAGAAGTCAGCCAAGCGCCATGGCGGGAGGCAAAGGGGGGCAAGGCAGTGACATTCATGGCTAGGAGGCAGGGCCTGGAGCCGCTGTCACGCCACATGTCACCACCCTGCCCCCCTTCACCTCCCACTGTGGCACTCGGCTGAGTTCTGCACTGCTCAGCCAGGCTGCTGTGGGGGAGCCAGCGGTGCAAGCGGCCATTTGGGCTTTCCCACGGTGGCTCGACTGAGCACGCAGCACTCAGCCGAGCGCCACAGCTGGAGAGGAAGGGGGTCGGTTCGGTGACGTACACGGCTCCGCCCCCTGGCCGAAATCTCTAAATTAGAAAAAAATAGCCACATACATGAGAGAGAAAAGTATTTATTCCTATAGAGTGAGATGTTGGTACAAATCCAGAACTCTTCAAATACTACTATTAGGCAAGAATATTGACTACTTATAGAGGAAGAGCCTGAACTTTTCTGCTTTCAGGGGTAGCCTGGGCTCAGAGCACTGCAAGTTAAGTGCATAAACGTTATCTTTACAAATAAAGAAACATGATCATAAGTTGTGCCTCTCTTTTATATGCCTAGATGGAATAATAGAAATGGTTTGAGGCAAAAAGCATCTCATGCATTGTACAGGCACTAATAAGTTTAGTTTCAGACCATCATCTCTCCCTAATATTTGATATTTGTTTAGAAGAAACTTTCTCTTGTTATAGCAACATTTGTTTCTCTTTGGGAAATGCTTTATGCTGCTTCTGATGGTTGTCAAGGGAGGGTTAAGTGGTCTGATGTAATATATTTGGTATATAGTTCAACAATTTATTCCTGAAAGTCAATTTGTCCTACTTTGATGTCCTGTTTTTTGTAATCTAGATTCAAAAGACAGGGAGGGATATAAAGCAAATAGTTTTTTTCAGGTATTCATAGAGCGCTTTAGTACTTTAGACAAAGTGGCTTCCTTCTGCCTTCTTTCCACTGACCCACCTAGTTCTCTGCATCATTTTTTCTTTCACATTCTTGTGATCTTTTCTCTTCAGTTACCCCCCTAGATGCTTACATAGCTGATGTACATGACCTGGAATTATTTCCAGCTGCAGCAGCAGCACTCTAAAGGAGGTGCTAGCATCCCCAGTGCAGAGATTTCTGAAACATAAGCTGAGGACACCTGCTGCACACAAGAGAATTCCACACAAGAGCTTCTGGATGGAGCTCAAGTGGACAGAAATGTTGCTTGTAGAGAAGACTCATTCAGAAATGATCTTGATTACTTCAACAATTCTGATGCCTATCTAAATAGTAACTTTTTTGCCAAGCCTGAAAGCTGCCTGCAGTCCCTTAGTATAAGTAAATGTGACTAAGTGTATGTTTCAGCTATACATCAAGTGGTTAGTTATGCAGTGGATACATATTTTATTAGAGAGCTACGGAAAAATGGGTGAATTTGCAATGTCTGTGTTAACATGGCCCTGGAGTGGCAATAACTTGTTCTACCCTCATCTTCTTCCTGTTTTGTTCACTTAAAACCTGGTGATTTTATGAAGTTACTTCTGGTAGATGTGTAGTTTGAGCCACAGGCAGCATCATCAGAGATTGACTGTTACTCACAGCAGGAGAGTACAACAAGACACTGTCTTAAGGTCCCTACTTTACCTCAACCCTGACCTAGAAACAAAAGGCATACAAATTGTATTATCTGATCAATTTAGGCTAAGAAAGCAATTGTCAGCTGTGACATTTACTAAATTGCATGTGACAGTTGTACAGAGGGAGCAGAGCCTTGCAAACTCAGTTTGGCTAGGAAAGGGTGTGGCTCTACTCCTTACACCACCTAATCTCCTTCACACTCCATGCAAATAGCTAATGTTTTAGATTGTTTGCTCCCCCCCCACCACCACCACCTTCCAGCCACTCTGTGAAAGCTCTTTAGGAGCTCTCCATACATTACATGTGTGTGTGTGTGTATTGAGGGGACTTCAGATATATGGAAGATCACGTGCCGGTAACATTCAAACGTAAGTTATCTAAAAAAATATTTAGAAAAGGGGATCCTGTGCTGAATATAAACAACTCCATTGGGTGGAGTGAAATATTTTTAATATGAGTCAGGCCTTAAAGGTGAGCATACAAGTATTGCTTCTGGATTCAAGTCAAAGTTTGTCTACCCTTATTACCCAAATGTAACGATCGTGTAGTTTTAAATACTGCCGAACCTCAAATTTGTGCCAACTGGAGAAATGCATTGAAAGTTGTAGTCCTGAGCAAGTGGCATTTTCCAAAAGAGATCAGTGACTTTGGGTGCCCTACCTGATACCTTAAAAGGCCTCACTTTCAGAAAAATCCGTAGTGCCTGCTTTCTGAAAAGTAAAACCACTTTACAGTGTCACAGTTTAGGTTCTCAGGCTACAGCACCCAATCCCCCCTCGTCACCTTTCAAAACATCTAGGCCTTATTTTACAAAGATTGTTTCACAAAGTTTCAAAATAATGCTTCATTAAGATATATTAGTACATTTTGTGAAAAGAAAAGTTAAGCCCTTAGCTAGTAGAGAAGTTTGGTGAGGCCACCTGGTTGAAAAGAATCCCTGGATTTGCATTTATATGATGAACAGTGAGTTTCTATGGTACTTTAAAAAACTGACAGAGCAGAGTTGCATACAAAAAGCACATGCCAGGTGAAATGATCATGGCATAGCACCTACCTAGAAAATGGAGAAACATGCAGATATACACCAGCTTCATCCTCCCCACCAGCTGTTCAGCAATCCAGCCCATTAACACAGGTGACAACATGGAGGCACCTACAAAGCACATGTTTATGATGGCTGCCTGGTGGTTGGGATAACCAAGTTTGATGGTGCAAAATAGAATCATGTTGCAGACAATGCCAAAGAAAGTGAATCTCTCGCACAGCTCTATCAACAGTAGGCAAATAGCCACCTGAAGTTTCTTCTGAGAGTTGAACCCAGAGGAGACTACAACATGCTTTTCTTCTCCAGAGAATTTCCTTTTCTCACTCTCGGCAGTGTGTTCCAGAAGTTGTTTTTCTTGTAAAGCTCTCAGGTCTGTAACAGGCATACTTAACTGTTCTTAGCAAGACTAAATTGAGTGGGTTAGGCTGTATGTGCCTTCTGTTATCCTCCACTGTAATTAACAAACTGGTAAGACCCTTGCTTTGAATTCCACACCTTACTACCACAATTCCTCAGGGTACCTATCACTTTAGTGCTGTTACATTAAAGATCAAGGAACACAGGGGATACCAATATTTAAAACTTCTGAGTGCACAATAGTTACTCAATCCAATCTGTTTGTTTGGTGGTGAACAAGACTTTTACCCCTCCCTTCAAAATAATATTACCTCTTAAATTATGTGTATCTAATACAATATGTGCCAAATTGTATCTGCATGTTACAGATAAAGGTTTAAATACTGAGGAAGGCTAAATTGTTTCAGCAGAATTCAAGTACTAGATCAAGAAAATAATGTGGAGCTAATATTCTCATACCTTAATTAAGCAACAAGTGAGAAACTGCAAGCAAAAGGCTAAAGATAGAAAGAATGCATGTTTTTAGGTGAACAATATCTTATCATTATTACATTTCTTGTTATTTTTGGTAGAAATTCAGATAAGAAAGTTAATTAGAAAAGTAAGAAATGCTAGCACATTGAATACAATAAAACAGGTTTTACAAGAAAGTAATTCCATGTATTAATGAAGAGAAAAAGCAATAAAAAAAAACACCGAAAACAAGCACAGCTTCTCTAGCCTGACCTTTTACCACAGCTAACACATGCCATAAAGAAGCAGAATGAGGAAGACTTCGGTTCCTGGATGTTAACTTGATAGTTTATGAATAGTTAATAAAGATAAATTGGGACAAGTCTACAGCATGTCTCCCCCAGGCACTTCACTAAGAAGTTTACACAACATTAGTCCAACCTCCTGAATCTCCACTACCATGCATGGCCATTTATACCTGTCCCAACTGGTAATGTCCTGCACCCACTTTGTACAAGTGTAAATGACTGCACATGGTGAAAGACAATGGTGAATCTGACGCATGTTTCTAAAGAACACTATCAAGCCTTTCACTTTGCAATCTGTTGAAACAAAGACTCTTTTCAGTTTCATTTAACTATATAGATACTTAAACGCACACATGATTCTCACCCTTTAGCAGATGTTATGACTACCTATTATAAAGTAATAGAGATGCCTGATAGTATATAGATCACACGTATAGGCCCAAGTCAGAGGTCCAAATCCAAAATTCACTTAACTTTGGTATCAAGACTAAAGGTTACTGCCCTAATTTTCTGTAATGGCCATTAAATATAAATCCAGAAGCCCTGAATGCAGCAGTAGAGCCAAGCATCAGTAGAGCCTCTTTCTCAACTAAGGGTTGAATTCTCATAATTCAAATGAAGTTCTAAAGCCAGAACTTGGCTAAAGGTATCACAGAGTCTGCTTACTTCTGGGTGGGACTGGGGGGGGGGATGAGGGAATTTTGTATCATACCAGTACATATGCCTGCCACATTCCCTAAAAGGGACTAGAATGTATTTCATTCTTTTTTGATGGCTGGAGAAAAAGCAAACTAGAGGGATTACTTATAGCCTCAGCTGGTTTTTATTTCATAGTTTAATAAGCCTGGTCCCAAACCACACCACAGGGAAGGAGAAAGTATTGTGACCAAAGAGTAGACGCACACTCTATCTTGGGGAATACCCCCTACCTAGCTGCAGATGCATTAAGGTGCCCTTTTTTTTACTCAACTTGAAGATAAAACTGTAGTATAGACTCAGATTGAAAACACTGTGGTAAATACACTCTGCCTTCTATGCACAATTCAATAGTGAACATTCCCTGCTCATGTGTAGATTTTTGTCTTTAAAAGATTTGGCCAGGGGGCACCTGTGTCTTACTGGTGCTGCTGATTGAGGGCAAATGAGATTATAAGAAGAGCAGTAGAGCTAGATGGCTTGCCAGTTGGGTTTAATTACAACAATTCCTTGTTTGATGATAGTTTGTCTGATCCTGGGGTCAGGCAGGGAAAACAACTGACTGGTTGGCTGGTTAAACACCATAAAACCACAAAGTAGCCTGAAACAGTTGTGTGGGAATGGGTTTCTATGTATGTGATTATTTCAGAAATGGGTCTGCCTCTGGGAGAAGTGAGTTGAAATGTTTGATGGTGAGCCCTGGGGACCATGTGTTCTATTCCTTACTCTGCTGCATTGTCTGGACCAAACCCTTTAATCTGTTAGCTGGTTTATCCCTTAATATAGTAGTTAGAATACTTAATACAAAGTGCTTGAGGAAAGGAGTCAGTGTAGCTAATATCTTTAGGATTACACTAGTATTGAACCAGATGAGATTTTAAGTGTGAATCACCAACACAGGCTGAGGACTGAAGTGGGTTCAAAGAGGAGTCCTGCCTCTGACAAATCTGTGTGGGCCCCAACCAGGCTGACAAAAGGATTTAGAATGACTAAATTATGGGATATGCTAGTGGGGGGGGGGGGGGGGGTGTCTCCTTCAACTGAATGTGTTCCATTTTAATTAACTAACTGAATAACTAAATGTTAATTGGGCCAGACTCACCCTCTAGTCTAATGGTTAGACACCCACCTAAGAATTAGCAGAGCTCTCACTAGGCAGACTAGGGACTTAAACTGAGGTTTTACTCACAGCAGAGGCAAGCACTCTAATTGCTGGGTTGCAGGTTGTAAGAGAGGTGAGCCTCATCCTTGCCTGCCTTCATCCTGTCCATTTTACATGGCCTCTGAGTCCACCTACCCAATCACCTGAATATGGATTAGGAAGAGAAGTGCCTATCTTCCCACAGTCCAAAAAGTGCACTGGGGCTTATATGTGAGAGGAGTATGTGGACTTCTTGAGGGATGCAGCAATATACATGCACCCAGGCAGAAACATAGGCACTGCGGGAACTTTTACTGCACAAACTTAGGCACCGAGTGACCTGAGGCACCTAAGAGTCAGGTGGTAGCAAAGTGAGAGTTTTGTGGATCATAGTGATGGGTAAGTCAGGGGCATAAGGGCCTTTGTGGATCTGGGTCTTGAAATCCTTTAAAGATGCATCTTTAAAGAGATAGCTCTGTCAAAATGGGACAGCTGGTTCCTGAAGTGTTATAAAAGTATTTGTTCTCTCCTAGGTGCCTAATGATCTCAGCTGGTGTAAAAGAGACTGCTCATCAGTACAGAAGGGCTACGTCTACATTGGCAAGATTTTGCGCAAATACTTTTAACGCAAGAGTTTTTGTGTTAAAGTATTTGCGCAAGAAAGCGTCTACACTGGAATGTGCTTTTGTGCAAGAGACGTGCTTTTACGCAAAAGCATCCATGCCAGTGTAGATGCTCTCTTGCGCAAGAAAGCTCCGATGGCCATTTTAGCCATCGGACTTTTTTGCACAAGAAATTCATGTTGCCTGTCTACACTGGCCTCTTGCACAAGAACACTTGCGCAAGAGGGCTTATTCCGGAGTGGGAGCGTCATAGTTGTAGCACAAGAAGCACTGATTTCTTACATTAGAACATCAGTGTTCTTGCGCAAGAACTCACGGCCAGCGTAGACAGGCGGCAAGTTTTTGCACAAAAGCAGCCACTTTTGCACAAAATCTTGCCAATATAGACACAGTGGAGTTGTTATTTTTGTGTAGGCCATCTATCAATTGATGAGCTCAGCACCAGAAAGATGTTCTTTATTGGTTCTACAGCCCACTTAAAATAGTAGGGAGTGACCAGGAAGTAGCCTAGGCACTTGCATGTTGCTCCAGTTACTGACTTACCACCTGCTTTGCCTTGGTTCAGTCCGGTTGCCAATCTGGTTGTGCGGCTACAGGATCTACACTTCTGCTCATATGATGGAAAAGTTACACTGTGCTGATTGTTTTCATCTGCTATTCTTATTTAAACACAATACAACTTTTTTTAAAGAAAATATGAAAAATGTTGTAATGCACCCTAACACTTGCTGCAGTTCTTGCCAAATTTCTTGTTGAGAAATGTCATGGACATTTTGCTGATGTGTTTGGCACTACAAGTGTAATTTTTAAAAAACTCAGGCCCAAGGATTTGCTCTGCTCAGGGTTGCAAAACCAAGCTTACTTAAGTTTGTAAGCCTCATTTTCAAAAGCGATGTAAGCTGAGATCCTCAAAGGTGCTTAGATGCCTAACTCCTATTGATTTTTTCAATGGAAATTAAGTACCTTTGAGACTCTTACACGTAGGTGACCAAATCCCATTCACTTTCAGAGAGACTTAGGAGCCTACGGGTCTAACTCACTTTTGAAATCAATGCCAGAATTCCAGTTGACTTCAACGGGACAAAGTTTCGGTCCTGTGTATACAGATCTAGAGATCGCAATGTGATGAAAGGGGTGACAACTTCAGTGACAGAAAACAAGAGATGTGATAATTGAGGCAAAGACTAGAATATCATGTTTTTGAGAATTACCACTTTAATCTTTCCTGAGAATAGTTTAATTTAAAGCAGGTAGTAGCTGTGACTAATTCATCTCCCTGCCAACAAAGCATTGTTCCCTGCAGGATGTCTTCTAGTGAGAATAGCTGACTAATCATCATGCTAGACAGCCACTGTTCGTGACTACTTTGGAGTGCACTGTGTCTATTTCCACACCTCAAAGAAAGAACCACTCTTCTTGTTCTCTCTGCAGTTGGAAAGGAAAACCTAGACTAACTTTCAGTCTGTCTAGGACACAAAAATACTATTGGGAAACAATGGTCTTTGACAGTCTGAAGATAACCTGCTACTTACAATCATAAAAGAAACCTCAGGAGATCGAGTCCAACCCCCTGATAAACGCAGGACCAACTCGAACTAAATCATCCCAACCAGACTTTGTTGACACAGGACTTAAAACCCTCTAGAGATGACGATTCCCCCACCTCCCTAAGTAACCCATTCCAGTGCGTCACTACCCTCCCAATGAAATAGTTTTTCCTAATATCCAACCTAGATCTCCCCCACTACGACTTGAGACCATTGCTCCTTGTTCTTCCTTCTGTCATCACTGAGAATAGCTTCTATCC